ATCAATTCAAATTCAAAATCTTAGGAAAATGGGAAATGATCAATCTTTGCCTTTTTTGAAACCTGATATTGTAAATTTATGTTTAAAAGGTAAAGGTTTGAAAACTTTCCCATTCATAATTCCACCAGATCACCAAATTACATCAATTGATATATCATATAATCGAATACTGGAAATTCCACCAAATCTAAAGCAGTTGCATTTTCTTGATTATGGACACAACAATATTAAATCAATTTCATCAAATTTAGAAAATGTGCTAACTTCTTATTCATCTTTATCTGAATTGAATTTGGCTGGAAATTCTTTATCAGAAATTCCATCATCATTGACCACATTAAAAACCATGAGATCATTATATATTAACCAAAATCAGATTAAAGAATTTAATCTAAAGTTTAAGTCTTTGCAATCACTTGACCTATCTTGCAATCTTTTAAGTCAGTTCAATGCCATAACTAATTCATTAACAATACTTAACTTAAGTTTTAATAGATTAACGAGTTTAACTTTTTTTTCATCAAATTTAAAAGAGTTGAATTTATCTGGAAATGATTTATCAGAATTACCTGAAAATATTTGCTTTGAAACATTGTTTGTTCTCAACATATCCTATAATAAAATAATTTCTTTGAAACATCTATCAAAAATTACACCGCAGCTTGAAGTAATTAACTTCTCTTATAATGCCATCAAGTCATTTCCTGATCCTTTACCATTAACAATCATGAATATAAATGCTATTCATAATCAAATCACCAACATGCCAACTCTAATCAATTATACAAATTTAAAGTCATTACTTCTGGATGAAAACCAAATTACAACATTACCATCACTTCCTCCTTCAATTGTTGAAATCACATTAGAGAATAACTCGTTAGAAGAATGCGGTACTATTTCCTTGCCTATTGTGAAACAATTAGTAATGAATTATAATAATCTAGAATCGATTCCATGCTTTTCTAATTCTTCAATTACTACATTCAGTGCAGCTTTTAATCAAATATCCACCATAAATATTTCAAGCTTTACTCATAAAATTGTACGACTTGATCTTTCATCAAATAATATTAAAATTCTTCCAAATGAACTTTTTTCTTTACCTGAATTAAAACAATTGATTTTATTTCAAAACAATATTTATGAAATTCCAAAAGAAATTGTATCTAGTTCGATCACTGTCTTAAACATTAGCAATAACCCTATTTCAAATTTACCTCCAATGCCAAGCTCTTTATCTTTAATTTCTGCTCATTGTTGTAATTTTGACAATTTTCCTGAAACTTTGATGTTTATTCCTTGTCTTGAATGTATTGACTTATCCAATAATAGAATAGCTTCATTTACTGAACCAATTCATTCATTATTGCATTTGAAGACATTATTTTTCTCATGTAATCAAATTGAAGAGTTTCCAGAATTACCATTTGCTGTAAAGCATGTTGATTTCTCACAAAACAAAATTAAATCAATTAAAATTCTAGCATCATTGGAAAATATATTGGAATTTGATGTGTCACATAATGAATTAATAGAGTTTATCATTGATGCACCAATGCCAAATTTAATTTCTTTAAAAATGAGTCACAATTCGAATTTACGATTCACTTTATCATTTTCGAACTTTCCTTCACTTGATTGTCTCGATTTAAGCCATACAAATGTGAACATTAACTCTCGGGAACCAATAAAAAAAATGAGAGAACTTATTAGATCTAAAACATATTCCATCACTCCAATGATAAAAATATTTTCTGATGAAAAAGCAGGATACGCAGAAATGAAAGGAAATAGGATGACAATGGAAGATGCACTGATTATTCGTCATATGCCATTTTTCGATTTGTATGGTGTCATTGATGGTCATGCAGGATATAGAACATCAACATGGACAGCTTTTAAATTACCTCAATTGATTGAAAAGTTTGAAACTCATGGATTAATAAAAGCTATTCAAAATCTCAATACATTTCTACAATCACAAAATGTAAATGATGGAGCAACAATTGCTCTTGTTTTGAAAAGAGGAAATAAACTAATAGCTGTGAATATTGGTGATTCTCGATCGATTGTTGTGAAAAAAGATGGCTCAACAATTCCTCTTAGCTATGATCATAAACCTTATGAGCGTGAAGAACTTGAAGAAATAAGAGAAAGAGGATCTTTTGTGGAAGATAGCAGAACATCAGGTGTTTTATCAATTTCCAGAGCCGTAGGTGATTTCTTTTTGAAAGGAGTTTCTTCATGTCCAAATATTAAAGAATTCGAAATTACTGATGATGATTTTCGAGTTGTAATTGCATGTGATGGTGTTTTCGATGTTTTAACGAATGATGATGTTGGTAGGATTGTTGTTAGTGAAGATTCACCATCAGTTGCTGCATATAAAGTGAGAAATTGTGCATACTCACATTTAAGTGGAGATAATATTAGCGTAATTGTGTTTGATTTACATAATTAATAAAATAGATGTTTGCTATTGTTTTATTTTCATGTTTTTTCCTACATTGTCTCTAGGTTTTAACAAAAGTGAAATCATGAAAGAATATTCGAATAATGGTTTGGTTCATCATTCGATTGATAAATTTTTGAGAATTTTAATTGGGACAATTCACAAATCACCTAAAAAATCATTATTAATTGATTGTTTAAAACTTATTATCAAGTTAGACATAGCTTTGTTTCATGTTGCAGATGTGTTCTTCATTATATATGTTTTAATCAACTCTCTTACGAAAAAAATAAATATAATAAGTATATAATAAAATTAATATTCGTTTTTATTATATAAAACACTAATATAAATTACTATATTAAAACTATTTTTGAAGAATAATTATCCAAAAATAATGTCATTATCATATGAGTAAATCATATATAATAGGTGATAAGCACTTCTTCAAGGTATTGAGAAAGAAGAATTAATTTCAGCCTCAGAAATATAAGATGACTCTTCTTCACTCATTGAATCGGTTGTCGTTTCATTCATCATGTTATCAAACTCTGATGATGATAAATCTCGATCCGGACCCATAACTTCGAGTTGCTTTGTTCCTTTAGTTGGAGATTCTACGCCAACAAGTTTGAAATTATTTTCATCTGATTTCACAAAATTTGTACAACTTTCAATTAACCATTCGAAAGTGATAATGTAAACACCTTGATATTCTTGAGCTTGTTTAACAGATTCACTTTCAGGAGAATCAGCTATAATATGTGTGCAAAATGGTGTGAATTGCGGAGAATATCTTCCACCATATTTCACAACAAATTTCATGAAATCTTCTTGAGTACTACTCGAATCAACCAAATCCGAAGAGCAAATTATGCAGTTTTGGAAAACTTGACTATAAGCAGCATGAATGGCTTCATTGATTTTACAGTTTTCATCACTGAAAAATAAAGAATGAATATTTATAAGGAAGTTAGTTAATCCAATCATTGCAGTGTCTTCTTTTTTTTGGAAATATTTTTGTGAGTAAGTTGGCAAAAGCGGAAACACTTTTCCTCGAGGTGAACTTCCAAGTCCAACGAATGGTGTAACTTGGACAAACCCACAAACCGGCAAATTCGAGGAATCCCGCCAGTTCTCACTTGACACATCAACGATAACAGTATAATCGTTGGCCAAAACCGTTCTGGAGTTAATTCGATCGCCAAAATAATCGTTATCTGGATCGATATGTAATAGCACCTCTGAAATAAATTTTTCCGACTCAACCGAAAATATTCGTAACTCGTATTTTTGTGAAAGCCGTTTTAAGCACTCGATCAAATAAGGCCGCGTTCTGACAAGATAGGGCGGTTCGGTATTCGTTACAAAATATTGCGATTCGAGACCTGACGGAGCGATATATTTTTTGTCGAGACACACTTTCGAATCGATAATAACTTGGTCCATATGAATTAAAAGGCAAAGTTTTCCTTTTTCTTTAATTTTTGTGAAATGATCATGGATGATTTGGGAGGCTTCAATTTCGTTGAAGGTAACTGATTTACTGTTGGTCATTGTCATCGCATGATTCTGTATGCCAAGGTCTGCACCACACCATGCACAAAGAGTACCATATCGAACTCCATGAGTGCAATTTTCTTCCATGAGTCTTTTTTGGCGGGAATTTTTGAAAGAATTTTTAGAATCTTAAATTCTCATTAACTTTGAATAATTCTAGCCTTTTGGGAAGGCAGCTGGTCTCGTAGCTCAGTCGGTAGAGCGTTGTGCTGATAACGCAAAGGTCTAGGGTTCGAGTCCCTGCGGGACCATGTTTTTTTTCATCCTCTGAGCGTTCTTTTTTATCAGGAGCAGCATATCCTGCCTCCTCTAGTGGAGTACAATCGAATGATTCCACTCTCGTACGAAAATTCCGCGACTACATTATTCGATCAGCATATCAACCTCAATCAATACAACAAACTGAAGCAGACCAATTCGCAGTTCATGTTCTCATTGATAACAAGGCGAATTCGGATCTACCTTCGCTAATACACTCTTTTCAGAACTTTTGCAATATTGATATGCTTTTCGACGACTCAGAAATTCTACCACTCGCACTTTTGTTACTCCCAGTTCAATTATGGACCCAAGTTATCAATCAACAACTCGAATCTCCAGCAACTCTTGCTTTTTTTAGAGCTCTCTGTCCTTGGATACACNAATCAACGATACAGAATTTAATCATTGAATATAACACCTGCTTTAACATATTTTCACAATCACAACTTTTCGAAATCAATTCTTATATGACTATATTATTCACAGATTTTATAATTTTGTTCACACACAAGAGTTCAGACCTCCGTTCACAAATCAAAAGAGAGCTCCTTAAATGTTATAAATATGCTCGTGAAATTTCACAAATTCCAATACAATTTAAATTCAGAATGCATGACAATGAAACTCTTACAATTAGTATCTCTGAAAGAAATAAATTCCTTTCTTCTTTTCCAAACTTACAAAGCTTATTTGGTAGATTAGGATTTCTCCTTTCAATGTTTATTGTATCATGTTCTAACAATATTTTAGTACCCAATGTCTTTAATGAAAACTACGAAGAACTTCTTGCTAGTAATGGTTTTGATATTAACACATTACGTGATGTTGTTTCCTATCCAATCATTTGCTCTCATGTTGCAACATCAACCGCTGATAATATAACGAATAATGTACAGTTTAACTTGAATAACTACCATTTAACTCAAAGTATTCCAGATAACGATTTCACACGATCTATTTTTAATGAGAAAAGTGATCAAATAACAATGCAACAGTTAATTTCTCTTAATGAGAGAAGTCAAGAATGCCAATTCAAACTTTTCTCGAATGAATTTGAAAATCAAAGATGTTTCTTAGCGCAAGCATTTGAGACTATTAATATTCTGACTGATAAATTGGATAAACAACTTCAAAATTACAATTTTAATAACCAAATCCAACAAGGTTTTAACAGCAACATCGCTACAGCTTTCGATAAAATCTCAAATTCTATGGATATGGTTTCTAATATTTCGAAACAAATTTCGACTCAGCATAATCAATATTTAGATTTATATAAAAATCTTCTTGATGTCCTTAATATAAAAATCAATAACAATGATTTGATTAATAAAAATTTGATTATACAACTTGGTCAGATGCAACAGAATTTGTATAATGACTTCAATAAAGCACTGGTGGCATTTGATCAAACTGTAAAGACTTACTCCAACATACACAATCAAGTCTCTGAGTACAATAATCATATGACAGAAATTCTCAACAAATTTACATGCTCATTTGAAAACATAAATAAATATATCTTAGAACAAAACCGTAATCAATTTGAATATGTTAATGTTTTAAATAGACAAATCGACTCTTATCAAGATCTTTCGAATCAACTTTTGTTAAAATTTTCAGAATTCATCAATATGTCAGCTTCACAAGATAAGATCCTTGAGGCTAATAATAACGCTCATATTGTAAGTATTGATAATATCACTAGNTCTATTCAAAGTGGACTATGNAACATGNTTGAATTTTTTAATAATAACCAATCCACTTTATTACAGAATATCCAAAGTAGACTCAACGACACAATCACTCATCTAGTCAATTGTATTAATGAGAAATCAGATAGAACCATGCAACAAGTTATCCAGCTACTTGCTAGTTCAAAGAGCACTGCTTATAATGATGTATTGAACGGAAGTGGTACAGGAAATACACAGTTTCCCCCTCAAACATTATTCTCCATGATCCAACAATTAAATGCNAAGAATGATATGACACTCAATATACTGAATAATATCTCTTCTAAACAATATTCTGCCCAACAGATGGACAATTGTAATCCATATTACCAAGCTAACAATGACAATCTACCAGGAAAGGTATTCCATCATGATTCCGATGAAGCCAGTAGAGATCCATCTCAACCAGATACTGTTGTGCATTGGAGATCACCAGCCTCTAGTCCTCCCTCTACACCTTCTCATAATTCTGCCAATGGCTGTCGAGAATACCAGGGCCGTAGTGATCCCATTATCAGTAGCTATGGTAACAATGACAATAGTAACAGTGACAATGGTAACAATGACAATGGTAATAATAACAATAGTAACAATGACAATAGTAACAGTGACAATGGCAACAATGACAATAGTAACAGTGACAATGGCAACAATGACAATAGTAACAATGACAATAGTAACAGGGACAATGGTGATAGTGATTATTGCAACAGCTTAAGCTCGATTCCTACGATAGAGGAACAGCTTGCTGCAGTGTCCAATAAGTTAGAATTAGATATACTTATACGTGAATGGGGAGATACTATTGTAGATGCTCTACACTATTCTTCCCCATTCACTTCTATTCTAGTTCAAATCGTGTTTCATAAGATATTCCCGTCCACTGGTGTCTTAGGATGCACACATCCTAATTGTATCTCTTTTGATAATGCATCCAAGAGGAAAAAACACCTACGCGATATTCATAATGATAATNTGATTGACAGCGAATTATGCACGCTCGTTGAAGCTTTGGAAGATAAAAAGATCGTTTGGCATGCTAATAACAAGCAGTTTAGACCTTTCTTTTGTCTTCTATGCNACTATATCAGCGAAGATAGGGATTCCTACAAGAATCATCTTTCGAAAAAACATCATGAGGCTGCCTTATTGATCAAAGAATTTGGAATAGTTTGGGCCCAACTAATATATATTTGCAAGAACAAACTTTTGATGCCCAATATTTCGTTGCTTACAATGAATCACAACATTTATATATGTAGAGAAGGTGATTGCATTCGCTCAAACAAAAAAGCTCTCTCGCTACATATTGCACAGACGCATGAAGAAGCTNGCGTCATGAATGCAATGTCATACATTTGTGAGGCGATTTTAAGCACTAACACACAAGATCTAAATACATCTCAAACTGCAAATGATGGAACCCAAAGAGATGTGCTCGATTTGACAGATAATGATATACTGGTAAACCCAACTAATGTCAATCCTCCGCAGAATGCTACGGGTGAATCATCTATGGATCATGAAGGGGATATTATATACGGTACTCCAGTTGATGAGAATAATATAAGATCGTCTGGCAATGATGATCAAGATGATGATAATGTAAGGATTAATGGACCAGAGGATCTATCGGAGGACCNTCACTCTACGCCAAATGATGAACTATTTCAACGCGATCATGATCGCATTCACCCAAGACCTGATATGCAAAACAATGCATACCTTAACAAGGCTTTGAAATGGCATAGTAAATACTCAGAATTCATTGAGAATGGCTGTCTTTCTCTTCCTAAGCTCGAAAGACGTCACAGGAAGAAAATTAAGAAAGATTTAGATGAATTATACGAAAACAAGATTATACCACTCATCAAGAAATATACGCCACAGACTGATGACGAATGGATTTATTTTGAAGGTGCTATACTCAAATGCGAACACATACTTTATAAATTCGTAGTTAAGAAGCTACATCTCCGAAGCAATAACACNCGAAACATCAATCATAGTATTTACGAAAGAATCAGAAGGAGAGAAACGATGGATAGGGCCCTTGAAGACTCTAATTCCTTGATAACTATTCTGAAAGAGTTTAAGACTCTCAAGAATATTCCTCTCGAGGAGCGAGATGACTCATGGAATAATAACCTATCTAAGTTAAAAGATGAGCTGTTGCAGATTAGTTTAACTTGCAACGATGAGATTATAGAAAATACATTTGGTACACGAAGTGCTGCGAACCTTAGAAACTTAGAACAGCAACAAGATGATTGGCTAGATAAGCTTATCTACTGGCTTGAATCATATCTAAACCATAAGTATAATGAGAAAAGCGAGTACGGACTGAAAGATATAAAGAGAATCCGTAGCTTATACGACGATGATCCAAAGANATGTTTGGAATACTACATTTATCCCAATGTGTCACCTTGCTTCACGCAAGACCGGGAAACAACCAAAGATTACTTCACAAATTCATGGTCACTGGTACCGGAGTTTATTGAAGATGATGATTCATGTTGGAATCCACACAGATTGTTGAATGAGGAAGACATGGATCTATTCTGGAATGCCTTATTAGACAAGAAAGCGCTTCATTCGTTGATATTGAACCGAAACGCTCGCTCGGCACATGGACTGGATGGTCTGTCGAATGCGCTATTCTCATGTTCAGCTAAGTTAGCATCCAAATATTTCCTCAATATTCTCAAATCAATACGCNAAATACACAAGCTGCCTGAACACTGGAAAGCGGCNAAGGTGGTATTATTATACAAAAAAGGAGACCCGGACTGCTTAAATAATTGGAGGCCCATTTNAATTACCTCTACCAGCTATAGAATAACTATGATGCAATTTGCTCATGCTTTTCAAAGACTAAATGATTCCTCCAGATTCATCTCATTCTACCAGAAAGGTTTCATTCAGGGCTCAAACGGATGCCTTCAACATGCCACTACTGTCCAAGAACTAATAAATCATTGTAGCAGAACGAAGGAAGATATTTACATAGCATCCATTGACCTTACAAATGCTTTTGGTGAGATACCACACAGATTGATCTTCAACAACCTGAAACACATCGGATTTGATGAAGGGTTCATTGATTTCTTTCGAAATTGCTATAAAGATTCGTATAATATCATTCAGACGCTAGGATTCAAGACAGATAAGATTACAATTCGTAAAGGCGTTAAACAGGGCTGTCCTATGTCACCCCTCCTCTTTGATGTTGCGATTGATCCTCTTCTTAG